TCACTGCCTAGTGGGAGCCAGGGAGTGAGTATAAGACTTTGGTATAATTCGGAAGAAGAAGGGCGGATTTGGTGTCAAGTCTTATGTTTGTGTGTGAAGTTAATTGGTATGTGACTTTGCTTGATCTCGAGTATGATGTTGATTATATTGATGTTCTTTTTCTATGTTGAACATTCTTTTGTGATTCTCACGTTCAAAGTAGGTTGTTGTAAAGAACATCATGTGGTACAACTAAGTTGTTGTCGTGTTGTTATGCAAAAAAAAAATTTCTTTCGAGACCTTCTTTATTTCGTAGTATGTACGCTTATTTATCACATTGTAACCACATTTTTCCACATAAATTCACTAAGCCATATACTTATCTTTTAGTGGTTTTAACTTTTCAGGGCAAATTGGCAAAGGCAAAAACAAGGTCGGATGATTGATTAGGGATTGACGTGTAAAGCCTACTTTTGAGTTTAGGTATAAGTTATACTTTTGGGTTGTTCATAGTATGTATATTTCGGGTAGACATGTCTCCAATGATTATGTTTTTGTTAGCTATGTATTTATTAAGTCTTAAAATTATGTATTTTGGGTTGTAAATCGTTATCACGTATCTTGAGGTTTTTGAAACTAAAATTTATTTAATGAAGGTTGGTAAGTGTTTGTTTTGTAATCGTGGTGTTACAATGAAGATCCATAGGTGCGATGAACAACGCATCTCCATAACCCCTCTGGTCACCAACACTTGGAGATTTCAACAACAGTTCAACCAGAGGTATTCATTCAAGAAGACTCAAAGACCCATGGTTGAACACACCTCTTAGAAGACAACTGGAGATGGCAAATCGACAACTGAATTCTCATTGCTTTATTTAGTTCAATATTATTTCCATATTTCTAGTTTTCTATCTTTCCTTAGAAGATTTGCGATATATATTTCTTAGATAGCCATATCCTTATTTAGATTACTAGTATAAATAGGTCTTATATTTCTTGTAATCGTTTACGCTTCCATTCCATTAAAAATCAATAATAGTGAATCATTTGACGCTCCAATTATTCTTTGAATATTCTTGAGTTGGTCATCACTATTATCCATCCATACGATATATTTAGGTTATTCATAACTTGAATATTCGTGTTCTTGAGTTGTTCATCACTATATTCACCAGCAAAGTGACTTGTACGGTGACAGTTGTAGCAGATGCTGAAGTCTTATCTATTATATCAGATTTTGGCTTTTCCTTTAAGGTCAACGAGGGAGATCTGCGGAAGTTGCTTTTGTTGGCGAATCTCCTAAAGGATTTAGTCAATAACGCCAGTGATTCATCAAAATCTGCAAGATCATATTCTTATACATCCTCAGAGTTAGTAGAATCTAACTCTGTACTAACAACAGGAAGAAGAGAAGAAGAAAAAGAAGAAGAAGGGGTTTCAGCTGAAGCTTCTTTAGAGATCAGAGCTAACGGAGAGCTCTTCATTTCTCTGGAATCTTTGATCAAATTCCTTTTCAGCTGACGAGATTGCTCATGATTAAGCAAGATCTCGTAAAGAGTAGAAAGAGAGAGAGAGAGAAAGAGAGAGAGAGAGAGAAAGAGAGAGAGAGAGGACATGTCATTGAACATCTTGAGACACATGGAATAAGTGTATTCAGGAAGACATTCTAGAAACTTAGTTAAAGTTTCAGAATTAGAATATAACCTGTCTACAGTCCTAAGATCAATAAGAAGACAATTAAAATGTTGATGTACTTCAGACAATGTCTTAGTCTTTCCACATAGAAAGCTTTTATATTGTCTTACTAATTTGATCTTCCTTGATTCTTGAACCTGAGAGGTTCCTTTATATTGAACACATAAAGTGTCCCACATGGATTTGAAGGTTCTGAGTTTTATCACAGAGTGATAAACCTCATCAGGAAGAGACATAACTATTATAGACCTAGCACGAGTGTCTATAACTATTTTCTTCTTGTTTTCATCGTTCCATTGATGAGGGGGCTTTTGAATCTGCCGTTTAGGAATCGCGGCAGTCGTAGCTGTTTCAAGAACAGCGGGAGAAATAACAAATGATACATATGGTCCATTTTCCATGTAGTGTGGAATTTCAGGATCCACATCTTCCAAAAAGAGGGACATCCAATTTTTCTAGAGACTAAAGTTGTCTTAGATGAATCAGGAAGGTTTGCCAAGAGAGTCATTGTCTTGAAAGTATGTATGTTTGTGTTTTGTAAAGCCATTTTAAAAGCAATAAGATTATCTAAAGAAGGAGATAATATAATGCAGAAAACAACTAAACAACTAGAGAAGATAAAACACTGCTCTGATACTTGTTGATCCTATTAGGGTCTACAAGATGTGTACAATAGTTTGTAGAAAGGGGGGATGAATACGAACACAGAAAACTTTTCAAATTTAAAATATATATTGATAAAGAATGATCAATACAGATTTTACAAGATTATTTGCGAAAAGATAAGGTAAATAAAACTTATCTAAACAATCTAAAGTTACACACTAATTCTTAGCAAATAAAGAAAAGATTTGTTGTTAAAGACTTAAAGGAAAGTAAGTTCTATCTGGGAAAGAGCTATTTAGAATACAACAAAGAGTATCTAACTTGCTCTTGAAGATGAGCATACTTGTTCTTAGATGTGTGTGTTCTTTTACTTAAGCGTAAGTAAGTTAAGGTAGAGGTAAGAAGTATCTCTGCATGGAGATAGAACACATCTATTTATAACCATTGCATTAAATGCACATTTAATGCAACATGGTAGAGTTAGAACGCGTGTCAAGCCTTAAGAGAAAGGCTTATCCTTTGCTACAGTGAATAGTACAAAAGCCTATTCATGAGCAGACATCCTTTCACAAAGTTGGTGGGTAATAGAGTCAACTAATCGGCTTCGTACCATACCACCTTTTAGAAAGGGTATGAGTTTGTCCTTTGTGTGTATATGAGGACAAGACCAAAACAATCCTGCTCAACAAGCTTCTTTTGATCGTTGAATGTTGGAATAACCTGAAGGTCTCTTCAGCATTTGCTGAGGCTTGGGCAGTCTTCACACATATGTAGACCAGGTTGTAATCACTGAATACCGTTTCAGATCACGTACTCGCTAGTCTCTAATCTTTAGTTTCAGTCTTCGACTTTCGCTGAAGATTCTTTGGTGTGAGTTTTGTCTTCTTGAAGTATTGCTATCGCTGAGTGGATTTACATTACAAGTTCTTCAGTGATCACTGAACAGACTCAATGATGATCGTTGGAACTGAAAACAGAAACATAAATACTTCGTGTAAGGTAAAATGGATTATTATCAAATCAATGAGAGAGAGGATCAACACAGATTTTGGAGGTTTGAAATCTTTTAGTAACTTTGAGATTATGTTAATGAATGATTGGCATTTTGTAAGTATGCTGGTTTAGAAACTAGATATGACAGGATTGTATTAGAGACCACATAATAGAAGTCAATTCATTAGCATATAGAATGCTATCAAACCTGAAAACAGTAAACCTTTGAACATACAGACCTCACTAGGCCAACATACCAAGAAAAAGTTAAGACACCAACAACAAAATAGAGCAAGCAATAACAATTACCTGTGAACCATTTCTATTTAAAGAACAAAACCAAATACTAGAATCTCAAAATGGTGGTGAAAACAAATTACCAACGACAGAAAGCATCCATGAAGATAACATCAGAAATACAAGTTACCACCTTTCCAACCATAGAAATCAAAAGTACAACCACCACCTACTAGAAAGTACTTCAAGAATCTAACATAGCAAATCCACCATCATATCTAACTTTCCATCAAGCTGCAACAGATCATATACTCAAGAATCAGGAGCAAGCTCAGTAACTCCAATATTTAGAAATCATATACTTCCAATGGTCTTTAAAATAAAGTATGGTATTAAAACTCCCTTAAGATTCTTAGAGCATTAGATAATCATCCAAAGCCAGAATTCAAAACAACCAAAGCTAATATCCCAATGAATAATGAAAAGAGCATGATTCACCACCATACTTGGATTCAGACCAAAATGCCTACCAGATCTTGAGCATTATCTTTACGTAACATTAAACCTTAAAAGACGACTTCTGAACACTACAAGCCTCACTAAACAAACATACCAACAAAAGAATTAAGACACGAACAACAAAATGAATAGAAGCAATACAGTTATAAACAAATGTCATTTGAACCATTTTTACCTAGAGAAACCAAAAACTATTTGTAAGCAGATTCAAACCCTAAAAACATGATATAGCAAACCCTAAAGACACAAAAAGGAGGAATTTTAGAAAAGCTCTAAAACCACAAAAAATTGAGTTGATGAAGAAGAAATACAACGATTTTACATACCTAAGACCATATAACATTGGTGTAGGGGACTGGTGACAACGAGCGAGGGAAGATTTGCAGGAAGAATTCGTCGATTGAGGAAGCCGATTGTTGAATTAAAGAAGTCGGTTGCTTAGGAGCGCCGATTAAAATCCCTGTATTGGGAAATTGAGTTTTAAAATATAATGTGTCTAATATTTTTAATGTCACTTGATGACATGTCAATTTCTATTCTACATCATTTCTTAAAAATACACGTCATTTTAGTTTACCCGTTACTTGAAGTATAGGTAAACCAAGTACTTGAAAGTTTAAGATTTCACATCTCAGTATCAAAATAAAAATTTTAAAAGTATGTTACTCAAAACAGGAAACTAAAGTATGTTATATTTTTATGTAATTTGGCCTATATTAAACCATCAAATATGTACAAAAATTCAAAATAACTATAACCCATCCTTTTTAACATATTACGGATAATTTAATTTTCTAAAAAAAGGCCACATAAACAACCACCAAAACCCTAAAAATTCAAGATTTTGGGAACACAAAAATCAAATTGAAATAAAAAACCCTCTCATTTCGAACAAGAGAAGGTTTCCGACGCCGGTCAAATCAAGAGTCATCTTCCCGGAGGAACTAAGGCAACGACTTCAGTTTCCGAAACCAAAATACTGTTCCCTTCTCCAACAGGACGACATCGATGGATGATTCTAATCAGCACCCCGAATCTTCCCCTGCCGATATAGATGCATCGGAACCATCATCAATTATATCATCTTCTTATGAATACTATTCAACAATATTACGCCAACAGTTCCACAGCTTATGCTCTTCTTCCGCTTATTGGCATGTGCTCGAAAGCATTTCTAGTCTCTGCAAGAGGACAATCGTCTCTTCAACACCAAGAAGAAATCGCGGGACGTCTCTCCCTCTTCCAGTGCCTTCAGCATCTCTTGAACCTTTCAAGTATGAATGTAGAATTTTAAAGGGGTCGCTTGTGGCCGCTTATGTTAATTGGGTTTAAATTACGATTAAGTTTTGCTTCGTCTCCTTCAAAGTCTTACTTTTGTTTCGGTTTCTAGTTGTTTTTTCGTTTTCTGAGAATTTCAGGTACGCTAAACGGAATGAATAATCGCATGATAGTGTTCTAACTGTGATATGCTTCATGATCCAGGCTATCATCTGAGTCATCTAGAGTATATGAGGTTTTAGAGGACATAGCGGAGCATACTTTCTTGAACATGCATAGTGTCCAGAAGAATTTACAATTTTGGCAAGCCAGGGCAGAGGTTTTGTAAACCGTTTTCTTCCTGTACAAGTTTGCTATATATAGTTTTCACCACGGTATTTGACTAGTGATATTTTACGGTGTTATCTAATCAGGGATCAGCTTCTCAGAAAGCATACTTCATGGCTCTTGAGAGAGGGCCTCGAGCATTTCTTGATGGTTCGGCACAGTTGATACATTACTATGTTTTCCAGGGTACTGGCATGCAGCATCTTTCTTCGTTAGCATCCATACATATCTCGGAAAGGATAAGTATCTTAACTAGGTTAAGATACTCCTTGGCTACATTTTTAGCACAGGTTCGATGTGTTTTTTGTTGTTGTTAATTTAAAGTATATGTGAACATTTTGTTATCGAGTTAAATCCAGATTTTGAGTTTCTTCTGATGGTCCTTTTCTCATTGATCCATCTAGCTTTGATTGGGCCCTCAATTTTAGTCTGATATTCTCCATTTTAGAGTATAGATAACTGCTTAGGTTATCGTCATCTATAAATATGCATGTGGAAAGGAAAAGGAGTGATTTTGATAGACGTATTTTGAGGATGCAGAAAATAGAAAACGTTTTTCAGAATTTTGTATGCTCCAGGAGTTGCAAATTTAAGAAAAATGGTTCACCGATCTGTCAAATCAAACACCTGTACACTTCCTCAGAAACTGGAAATGTATTGTTCACACATTGCCAAATGCATGTTCTGGCTTCATATTTTGGATGATATGGTCATGTTAATCATTCTATTTGGTTCAATGAAAGGTGAACTATACATCCATGCAATTGAATCCTGCAACTTTTTGACGAATATTTTTCAAGCCAGATATAGATGTTGGAGCCTTCATCTATTAGCTTAAGCTTTTTGAGGAGTTGGGGAACTTCAATATAGCTAACTTCTGACATGTAGGCACATTAACACATACTAGGAACAACCCACTTGCAAGGCACATTCCATTTACATCATTTTTTTTCCTGCCAAGTATTTGGTGTTGTAGAAACCTGCCACTAATTTTGAGTGGAAGGGTTTCTTTTTTCATTAACTGTTGTTTTTACACTAATCAAACAAAGAACATGGTTTTAGATGATAACATATGTGATGCAAAAGACATCTTAGGGGAGGGGTTATCTAGGAGAATAACTTTAACAGATTTTTTTTAATGCATGACCTTCTTATGGATTTAAGAACGTCTTCGGCTAACAGAAGAATGCCTCATCCTCATCCTGACACAAGAATGCCTCAAAATTTGTAAGAAGATCACACGTTTAAAAAAATCTATGAGAAGGTTAGTTTTATAAATACCCCCCTTGGGAGTGATCTTTGGTAAACATAGAATGCAACATGATTTGGCATACGAAGGCAAGAGATGGTCGAAATTTTAGCTAATGGGACCCTGTTTTATAGTAAAGTCAAGATCAATGTATGTGAGTGCATGAGATGGATTGGTAGGGGTGTAGGCTTAATGGTTTGGATGTACATCCATTGCCGTGCTGGTGGCAGATGGGTATAATACACTTCTGGATCTGTTGCTATCTTGCAATAGAGGTGCTAGTTACCGTAATTCACTCCTACTGCATGCTATCTATCAGTATGATCATTGGAGAACAAACTTGCAGATAGTTGAAAGACTGGTTATGAGCTTGGATTGTTCTGAATTTTTTTCATTTTTAGTATTCCCGTATCTCATGAAAACTGCAGCACTTTATCCTTTTTGGCATATCCAATGAAAATGGAGGCGTTTCCTTTTTTGGAAATATTCCAAGTTAAAATTACTTATTTGCCCATCATCATCATTACAAACTAATCGATGTTTTTGATTTGGATTGACAAGACTAATGCATTTGATTTTATTGAAAAGTATTTTTTTATAAAGTAGTTAATCATTTTACTTAAAATATGTGCCAAGCCAAACTTGCAATTTTGATGTTATATATAGAGTGTGCTCTGTAACCATATAGGTACCACTTTTGATGGGATGTGAATCCATCTCAAGCAAACAATATGTAATGTGATAAGAGAGTTTGCCCCATTCTTTTTTGTGCTTCGTGATTAATTCACAGTCAGAAGGATGCATTAACTGACACCGTCATTGTTCAAGATGTTTATGATGCTTGTTTTGACTGGTCTGTGATAATATTGTGAATATCTTACCCACAGGATGCTGATATTGCCTAGATAAACTATGTAGTTAATTAACAACACCTATAATTTATATGGTGCACTGGAATAGATGTTCAGTTTCACTTGATTATTTTTTACTCTTGATGTAGGTGTTTCTGTATCATGATGTGGTTGCATAATTGTTTGCTATTACGTAGTATCCACTGAAGTTCTCCTTTGTGCTTTAGTACACTAATCACACAAGTTATATATGCCTGTGCAAAAATCTAATGATAAGGATATCCAGTCTCGGTCCTGATACCGCAGGGTCTTGGGACAAAGTTCTATCTATCTCTTAACACATGCCTATCTTTTTTCTTCTGATGTTTTAAAGTTAAATTGAATATTAAGTCAGTTTTTACTTTTTGTTACTCAATTAGATTTATCTGGAGGTTGACAAATTCGGGGAGCAGATCCTTAAGGAGCCTGAAAAGTCATTGGCTCCAATACTGGCCTCTATAAATGGTTTATTTTTAAATTTGGAAGCATCAATTGGCCATTTTAGTGCAGTACGTCTGGTAAGTATCTTCTATTCTACACCTAACACATGCTAATTAAAAAGAGTAGGTGCAACAGAACTTGACACATGTTGATTGGATGTTCAAGTTATCACATCGACATTCATTCTGATAAATTCATTCACAGACTTGCAGCATGGTGTGTACTCAAAAGTACAAACCCCAGATTTGTCTGGTTATAAGATAAGTAATCAATTCAACTTACACTTAAAATCTGCAGACGGGTTCTTCTGTTGATGGGAGCTACTCATCTCCTTTGTTGTTTGAGAAACTGCCGGATATAAACCAGGAAGAGTCTCAATGGACTGATTGCGAGATTAGAGATACCATCAACTTGATATATTTAAATCTAAACAAGCTGGATGTGTACTTAGCTCTACTGGTAAGATTTTGTTTACCTTGTAGGCTGTAGCTGCCACTTTCAAATTGCCAATTAGCCTTTTTAATCCGTTTGCTCTCTCTTGCTCTCTTCCTAAATTCAAAAACCTGTGAATTCTGTCAGTTGTATCTAGAAACAATTTGGTTGGATACCTTTACATGCTAGATGGTATACAAAGTATGAAGCATCTAAGATCATACAACGGATCTGTCAAATGTAATATGAAGATTGGACTATAGATGGTACAAAAGGGCATCTGTGCTGTGGTTCTACTTTTTGTCCCAGTGTTTTCATGGGAAATCATTTGGAAACACTCTCTACCTTTTCCATGTTGGCAGGCCAAAACTTAACAGTTTGCTTTTTAGAAAACATTCTGCGCTGTAATATTATATGTAATGAATAGGTCGAACAAATGGTGTTTATAAGCATTTATGCCTATAAAGCTTTATTTACTTGATGGATAAATCTTTCAAAACCTTTTAAATACAATGAGGCATACATGTAGAATTGCTATAAATGGCAAAAGAGATTTGAAGATTTGGTTCATCATGAGGCTTAGCCCTTAAGCTAGAAAAACCTACCATGACATTCATTAATCATTATAGCATCCGAAGGTGTAGGCTATTGGTCCCACGATCAATGGCTTCAGTTTTCCCAAATAAGCTGAATATGACAGGGGTGTAATTATCAAAGAAGAGACGCTCGGGTGCTAAGTACATTTAATTAAGGCAACCCCTAACACCACCTCTTTTATCCCTTGTATGTATAAATGATTATCGTGTCATGTTGGTCATGGTAACCTCAAGGAAGCACATCAGGATAAATGACTATCATGTCACGTTGTTAGAGCCCAAACTTTCTTTGTCATTTACCTCAAAATATTAATTGAAACAAAGATGTAAGCAGCACAAATGAAAATTTACAGATGTGGTATTTCGGTTAAGATATATTGATACTTGTATTTTTGAATCTTTGGTGAACTCTATAAATAAAAACGCAGTTTTTAAGGGATGCTTTGGTTTCTCACGTCTAATTTCTGCACGATATGATTATTATTCCTTTTGTTTAAAGGAGATATATTTTGACTTTCTTTGCAATTAAACGATTTACTGTTTAACTTTAGAACTGTTGTGGGATTGAACTTATCATAGACACAAGAAAACTAATTAGGCCTAATATCAAGCACTAAAAATTGGAAGGGTGGTTGATATATTGGCAACAATATCCTCTCCGTTATGTAGTTGGAGGGTAGTAGGTCTGACATTGAAAAGTCTATGTCTATTTGGTGCTGGAGGGAGTAATAAAGTTTACTTCTATGCTCATTATAGAAAATGTTGGAACATTGTAGAAACATCTATTATGTTGTGCTTAAGAACAAGTATCCAGAGATGAAAATTAGGTCTTCTAAATGTGAATTCATTGTTCCTTGAGAATTTCGTTGGGAAGCAACGGAAGTTCCAAATTTGTTTTATTGCTTTTAAAGAGTTTTGGGGTTCACCTCGTATCTAATGATTTTACTTGTCCCATTATTACCCGATTTATTCTTTTAGACTAAGATTCAAAATGGTATTGCTTTGTCCTAGGTTGCCAAACACAAGAAGCCAAGGACAATAACCCTGCACTGGTTGCGCTACACTTTTGGGGCCGTAGGAATTTCAGTATTTTCACTATGGCTTCTAAGCCATAGTAGATTGGCAGGAAGTCCTGACATTGACAATTGGATTCTTGAGGCAAAAGAGACGATAACTGGCTTTTTGAGCAACCATGTAGAGCAACCGGTAAGACTTGTGATGATGCTTTCACTTATCATAGGATTGGTACTCTTGTAATTCATTGTTACCGATGTCTTATTTTCTTCTGACATTTTGCTACGTTTTAGCATGTACATCTTCTCAAGTTCCTTAGAAATGAGATCAAGAGAATTATTTGGTGAACTTAAATGAACTAGGGATGAGACTCGAGGACCATATTCCCAAACCGAACCGGTACCGAACCGAAACCTAAACCTAACCGTGTGCATGTAATAGGTTCGGTTATCGGTTCCAATTTTACAACTAATTCGGAATTTGGTTTTTTGGTTCTCGGTTCAAGATTTTCCCGAAAAAACCCAAACCGAACCGGAATTTAAGGGGACACATGACTATTGAAATTCCATCTTTATTTTCTCCTGAACTATCCATATCTTCTCCTAAACTAATCATATTGTCTCCTAAACTATCCATATCTTCTCCTAAACTAACCATACCTTCTCCATAACTATTCATATCTTCTCCAAGTTGATCAAAAAAATTTCGGCCCTATTGTTTTGATCAAAAAACTTGAGCACCTCAAAAAATCGGCCCTATCACCATAAAAAATATCAGACAAAATGGAAAAGAAAACGAAAGAGGAAAAGGGAAATAAAATGGCAAAAGAATAGGGAAAAAGAATACCGAAGATTAAGTGGTTTGTGATTGGTTTTGATACATATCTGAAAGATTTTCAAATATTATGTACTTTTGATTGTTGAACTTTTACGCTTGGTTTTGATACACATTTGAAACACTATGAACTTCTGATTGTTTCTTAACCCACTTTCATATTTCGGTTCTAAGTGGTCCTAGTATTGATTTTTCTATCCCGAAGCCGAACCGGTACCGACTTGTACATAACGTTCGGTTTTTGGTCCTAGTTTTGAGTCCCATAAAAAATCGGTACCAACCGGTTCGGTCCCGATCTGATACCTAAAATGAACCATTTTCACTTAAAAAGTTGGTATATGAAGTTTACTTGTCGGATTAAAAGAGATAGATAGGATCAAAGGTCTCATTTTAAGTGATCGTGAGCTACCAAAGGTCTCTAAAGAGCTGCATGATATATATTTAGGTTCAAGGGTAGTAAGCCGAAGTATTTAGGCTAGGAGATTGAGATTAGAGTTTAAGGACTCCTTTTTAAAACTGGAAGTGTCAACAAATTTGAATCCCCATAATAATCTTTGTGTAGGAGTGCTATTATTGTGCCCACTAATCTACCCGAACACTGCTTGTAGAAGTTAGATCGCAGAGAGATAATACCATTACTTTTGTAAGTGTTGCTTGTAGTCTGGTACTCCTCGAATGAATGCCCACCATTTATTTTATATCTTGCCCCAAGAATAGGCTGAACTTTCAAGTTTCATGGTGCAAATGGTATATTATGAGCTCCCTCAGTTTTAAATCGCAGAGAGATAATACCTACTTTTGTAAGTGTTTCTTGTAGTCTGGTACTCCTTGAATGAATGCCCACCATTTCTTTTCATATTTTGTCCCAAGAACAGGCTAAACTTTCAAATGTCATGGTGCAAATGGTATATTATGAGTTCCCTCATTTTTGTCAAGCAGTGCCCTATAGCAAGGCACGTGAATTGGCTCATAGGATTCTCAATGCATGTGGTATTTAACTGTTTTCTTGAAATATCCATGAAATGACAACTAGACATACTTTAAGAGACTTGGGGATCAAGAACTAATTCCCAAGTGATGCTGTAATTGGTGGTCACTCTAGGTAGGAGTTGTTGCACAAAATTTATCGAGTTCCAATGATTCACTTCGATCATTAAGAGGGATCCATGATCATCAGTCTTGCTCTATCATGAAGAGCGTGGGTCTTGGGGAAAAGGTGAGTGTACTTATATGCAACTATATATCCTAAAGGTAGTAAGGAGGAGTGAAACAATTTGTCTGGGGAACAAAAAAGTTCAGCTAGTGATTATGTGGTTTTCTATTTGGATTAGCCATCTAAAATGTCCTTCGAAGTAATGCTCAAGTACATATAGAGTTACTTAAATGAGATAGTCTTTTAGTGAAGTCATAGCGAGTTGTAAGGGTTTATTTCCTTGTTTGTATCATGAAACTTGAGTCAACAGACCTACATACCCTGGTGTAAGGTGCTGGGCCAAGGTTATTGTAGTTGATTTGATATGGTGGTTTGACAATAGAATGCAACACTCAAAAGGTATTGCATGTGAGACTTATAAGACCATATTAGGCAAGCTATTAATTAAGTGATGCTTGAATTGCAACAGATGATCATTGTTTAATCTAGATGGTCTATTAAAGACTTATGAGTGATCTTTAACATGTGGTGTTGTTCTATGTTAATGGCAGATACATAACATCTATCTTATTCATATCTCTGTTGTAGGATGGTTGATCTTGTTTTTGTTGTCTTTTAACATCAGTGCTCTTTTTCTAGAAAGAGGACGACACTGCTGGCAAATATATTGAAATGAAACAAAAGGAACACCTAACAGGCGTGGTACTACGCTGAAAGCATGATTACTCACCAAACGGGATAGAACCCCAATCAACGAAATAACATGCACTAACCCAATGACTAAACACAAATGGTTGGAGCAACCTCCATACCACTGAACAAGTAACCAAAATAAAGTAAAACTGATAGAGAAATACACCACATTTCACATTCTAAATGCCAAGTAATAGTAAAGGTCCAACTAAGCTCCAATTTGCTTTAGCCGTCGTAAATCAAAGGCGAAATCATGCTTATATTATTAGAGACACCATTCATAACATGGGGAAATTCCAATAATTTTTGAATCTCTATGAGGTTGGCCGAATCTTTGAAACCAATGGAAGCTAGCCAAAACCTCACCTCTTATTGGGAAGTCGTGACCAATTCAGGTATCGTCCTCCTCTTGCCTTTGAAAATTCTGATTGTTTCATTTTTGCCAAATGAAGTACACAATAGCACTGAGGGATATAATTTGTACAATGGACCACGAGTTATGTTTAGGGCCTTGGTGATACATTCAATGTGTCCTCCCAAATCATTCGATATAATAATGTTGCCGAGCATTAGTTTTAAAGGGCTCCACATCTTCTAGTATTTGCCCTTGAAAAAGAGATACTAGTGGAAAGGCATAGGCACAATGGGCATTTAAGGTCCATCCGACCATTGTTTCGAGACATCATTCTATCCTGAGTACAAGGGTGGTTTCCCGAAGCTAAGAAGAGGCTCATGGTATGTTTAGGGATACAATGTTAGTGTCAAACTAGCCTGAACCAAGGGACTTCCTCCCAAGATCTTGAATATGTGTCCAAAAGGGATGGGGCTGCCATTATCGTTCTTCAATTGTACACGACCTTTGTACCCGTTCCTAATCATAGGAGCCTAAATACCTTGGAGATCGTCATGCATATCCTCCCAATCCGCAGGCCAACCCCTATGAGATCTACAAGGGTGCTGACTTTATCATTCTGATTGGAAACCATCCTTCAATGTGGTTCTCATAGAAACGATGTTGCATAGATCCACAAAGCAAATCAAGTTGGGGCATGAGTGCCATCCCCAATAACGTGGACTAAGTGAGGTTGTAACCATTCACGAGTTTGAAGAATATTGTGCTAGGTTCCGGGGCACACCTTTGTAATTGGCACATTCCAAAGGTGGTAGGTGATAAGAGTAGATCCAACGAGCGCAAATAGTATCTTTTTTACTCTAATGTTGTGTTCTCGGATTTGGGGAGAAAAGAAAAGAAAAGAAATGGATAATAAATAAAGGGAGGAAAAAAAATTATTTATGTTCTCAGAAGGGATAGAAAATGAAGGAAAGGAAAAGAAATAAAATAATTTTTCATGTTCTTGGATAGGAGAGAAAGGAAAGGAAAGATGTTATTTTTACAAATATTCCTTTTATAAAATAAATCCTTTATAATGAAAGGCTGGGTAGTTCAAAATTTTAATGATATTTTTTTAAAGGGTTTTAAATTTCTTTCCTTTCTTTTCTTTCCCTTTCCTCCCATATTTAGAAGGAAAGTCTTGGGAGACTTGTCATTATTTTCCTTCTATTTCTTTTACTTCCTCTCTAAAAAAGTTTCGAGAACACGAGTTCTTTTAACTTTCCTCCCCTTTCCCTCCTTTCATTCCCTTTCCTTCGTAAAAAAGGGTTTCAAGAACACATCGTAAAGGTTCTGAGAGCAAAGCTATGTTTCAATGGATCAAATGCTTAATGCCAAGCTCCCCAAGCTCCCTTGGAAGACATACTTTGCCCCAAGCTACTTTGGCTTTCCCATGTCGAGCCTCTCCTTGAGTAATAGGAAGTCCCTCCAACTCAATCAATATCAACAACATGCGTTACCGGTTAGGCTTGGTTGATTTTGTCAGAAAAGAAAGTACCCTTCTCATTTTCAGTTATTGTACCCTTTGGCAACCTAAGAGTGGTAGCTCAATAACCCATAGAGAAGCAATCATGGATTTTATGACCTGAATTCTCCTTGCCAAGGAAAGAAATTTGTTTTTCTAGCTTCCAACTCGGTCTTGAATTTTGTTAATCAGAGGCATGCAATCACTATGTTTGGTTTTTCCTATGAGTAATGGAACTCCAAGGTAACAAACCAAAAGGGTTCCTTCTTGGAATGGGAGTATGCCTATAATGTTTCTCCTCACCAAAGAGGGGACGACGTAGAAGTAAATGGTACTTTTCGGAATGCTTGCCTTAAGCCCGAGGTTTCAGCAAATTAATCCAAAGGAGATGGTACTAATTGTAGAAGAGGGGACGTTGTAGAAGTAAATGGTACTAATTGTATTGTAGGATTTTTGGATATCTATCTTCAAAGTGCATCTAGCCTTTCCACAACCGAGATGGTAACCACACGTAAGTTCCTGAGCCATAAGAATGTTGTCTGTTTTATGTCTACTCGGGATAAAAGCTTATTGGTTTTCTCCAATCAACTGTCCCAAGCTGCTTTTTATGGTGTTTGAAAGGATCTTATTCATGCATTTGAGGACCACATTGCAAC